TAACAGACACTTGTCTACCAGATTGTGTTCTTAACCTCTCTGGTCACATTGGGCTGTTGAGGGAAATGATCAAGTCAATAAGTATAACCTGCTTTCTGGAGGCAACATTGGATTTAATGGTTCAGTGTGTAAGATTTAGGTGAAAGGGATCAATCGGCAGAAATTGAATATAAAATAATCCTATTGATGTTTTCAGTAGTGTGTTTCATCTAAATTGTACAAATTGTTGTTTTCTTTACCCTAGAAAAGGCCCTTTATATTTAAATACTTTATATTTACATCGAGGGGACCCTCTCTACGGAGGCCGCCATGTTTTTTTACAGTATTCCAGACTGGACAAACTAAACACCTTTTGAGTTTTTATGACAATTAAAGGCTACCACAGGTTCTTTTTCATGTTTGGAAGGAGAGGGTGAGGTGTGTTCAGCTGCAACATGCAACTTCAACACTAGATATCACACAATTCTACACACTGCACCTTGAAGGCTACCGTGGGTTCCCTTACATGTTTTGAAGAGGAGGGTGAGGTGAGGGGTGTTCAGCTGCAACATGTAACTTCACCACTAGATGCCACTGAATTCTACACACTGAACCTTTAAAGGAATTTTAAATCAATGTGGAGTGATTTGAAGTGTCAGGTATTTCTGGAGCAAACAAACATGTTAATTTGTCTATGGAGGGTTTCTCAAGATGTTCACATGCCATCCCATGGCATCATGTTATGTTATGCATTAACTAATTGTATTTTTAGCCATACTGTGCACCCCTTGCAGCTAAACCCTGCACTTGTCATCACATTACATAAGAACATTTCAGATGTGTAGTTCTGAATCCCAGTACTGAGAATTAAAACTAATGTGGTTGCAGAAGTTGCATTTCGTGTTTTTTTAAGTCCAGAAAAGCTATTCATAATTTATCAGGGATGTCCTGGCAATAAAGAAAGTCATTCACTGCCCTCAGACAGGCTCTGCTAGTGGCAATCAGCTGTAAAGGTCTCAGTTGTCAGTGAGCTGGGTTTGGGAGAGAGAGAGAGAGAGAGAGAGGGAGAGAGAGACAACACACAGCAGCAACATTGGAAAGTGTCGTGTTAGGGTTAAGCAGCTTGGAGCCAGGCCTTGCTTGCTGACTGCTCACCGGTGTGTCCTCAACCAAACAACCCGGTCAGTCTGGAGGCTTACAGAGACAGAGCCATGTTTTCACACTGAGCAGCAGCATTACATGCAGACGCTGAAGCTAACGCCGCTCGGCTGCAGGGCCACATTCGGGGTGAGGGGCCCACGGAGGCTGCTTTACCTTCTCTGTATTTCCTGCGCAGTTTCCTGTGGACGTTTTTGACGACCACCGACAGCTTCTCCTGCTCATTCTTGCTCGGCGCTTCTTCCGGGATGGGGAAGTAAAACAGCTCCGGCTGGTTCTCCGTCTCCCCCGTCTCGACATTGCCCCTGGGGTCCATAACACCGCACCGCCGACGCTGCCTCCGCCGGGTCGCTTCCCCCTTTTCCGAGCTGCAACACGACCGGCGAACCGGCGCACCGGCCAGCAACACGCAAGCTGATTGGTGAACTCTGACGAGCATGCCGCACAACTGACAGCGCGTCGTCCAATCACAGGCCTGGAAACATACCTGGGTCTGCGTGTGCGTCACGGCGCGTTTAAATGCATTATGTAAATCACACACAACTCCCTCATGTCCTTAAACCTGTCATATCTGTGTGAATGAAAATCGTATTTATTGTTTTATCCTTTTGTGAAGCATTTTTTTTTATTTTGTAAAGAAAAGTAAAGCTGTGTGTGCAAGTCCTAAACATGCTCATACAAGTGTTTAGTACGACCTACTGTGATTTGGCAGAGATGCTGCTACATCAGAAAGACATTGGTGAACTGCAAGTGAGATAATCAGATTAGGCCCAGAAATGGATGATGTCCACACAACAGATTTGAGAGAGTGTGACTGGACATGAACATGATGCTTTCTATATGTGAAATGGGATAGTGTGCAGAGAGGCCATTGGAAAGTCCTCTCATAGTATTATGTTTGGCATGAGGTTCATATTATTCAGGTGCATTAGACATCCTTGAAAAAGGATGATTATTATTTGATCATTTGAAAGTTGCCTAACAAGAGGACAAGAGTAGAACAAGCAAATATGACTTTGAGTTAGGGAAACTTAAAGTGCTGGCACAAGAGCGGTAAGCACTGTCAATGTGAAGGTTCCTGGTTCAAATCCCAGTTCAGCCGGAGCTCTAGATTCCTCACATAGACCAAAGACATGAAGCTAAGTTAATTGGAAACGTGTCTGGAAATTGTCTGTAGGTGTGAATGCAAGCGTGAATGGATGTTTGTCTGTATATGTCAGCCCTGCAATATGCTGGAAAACCTTTCAACGTCCGCTCCCTCTAATGTCAGCTGTTGGCTATGACCCTCAAAGGATAAGCAGTATAGTGGATGGATGGAGACGACAGGATGTTGACATCACATGAAAAGCTTTGGAAAAAGTCACCATCAGTCTGTCATCTGGGATTTCTGTCTCCTGACTGAGTTTAATATAAACAAGCTACCGGCATCAAAACAGCTGGATAAATTATAGGCTGCCAACAAAATTAGGAACACTGCTGTTTACAGGAAAGCTCTGTCTCTGAGGCAATGACTTCTGGGGGATGCTGTAGAACACCTGCACTAAAACAAATTATAAAAAAGGGACCCATTTACCATGTGCATTTAATACAGTGATAAATAATAAGAAATTGTAATTGCAAAAGTTGAATCAAACATCTTACATTCAGTCTGAGAAATGTAAAAACCATAAATGATAATTGTATTTCATTCTTGACTTGTGTTATCTGTGTTTGCTGTTTTATCCAAATGGCTTCAGTTTTATTTGTCATGTGTGGACCCTACATTTTCAAACACAGATCTCGCGATATTTGTCCTCTTCATCATTCTACTTAGGCCATGTTCATATCTCTGTACACATTCCACGTTCATCAAAAAAATGACAATGTTTAAGTGGTTGACTTGTTACAGCTGTGAAAATATGGTATAGTTCTTTATTTATGAATGGAGTTTTTCTTCCAACAGTGCTTTTGTCCTGATTTAAGAGTTGAACTTAGGACAACTGTGATTATCTCTTATCCAGAGTTAAGTTACAAATGATTATTAATAGTCAAATAGCACATGACTGCCACTGGACTGTTCACACATATAGTAGGCCTGCATCTTTCTCTGTGATGCTGTGGTGGATGTAATTACACCATAACGCTATTCTAGGTATTAATGGAGCCTCATCATGTGAGGTCTTACATAAAGGCTGCTTGTGGTAAGCAGGAAAAGAAATGAGATTTGCCTTATAAATTATAATTTATATCACTGGTTAACATTGTAGCCTGTATATTTTTATTGTATTAATTAGAATTTTTCTGTTCACAGTGTAGCTCAGACCATAAATCACGTATTTTAGTGTGAATATTTAATTTGATTGACATGAAATAGTCTCTTAAGCTCAATATGTTGAAGGTGGAACTATAATACTGTCTGACTGTGAACGTTGGTCTATATACTCACGGTACATTTGATTTATCACTGAACTCGAGTATGAAAAGAGGTCATACAGACAGTTGGCTGTATATGTAATCTGATTAGTGTTGGGTTCAGCCAACATGCTCTAATGATACGTGACCAAATAAAGAATAATGATTACTGCAATACCAAAAACAAATTGTATCAGGTCAAATAACAGGATTATTTCATGTTTAATGGAAAGTATAAAACAAGTAATGCACCTACTGTATGTGTATGTATATGTATGCTGTATAGATTTTTTTATATTTCAATAATCCCTCCATCCAGCAAATCCCAACTGACAAACAAACACACAAACAAACACACACACACAACAATAACCTGTTTGCAGCTAACTCAGCGCACAAAAAATGAACCCAACTGTACAACCAGACCAACAGAAGTTTGTTTCTCTGTGTGTAATCTGACACTGCTCCTTAAACCATCATGGTTTGAATAAGACAGCAGAAACACCAGCTGTGTTGAATTATAGGACTCAAGTCACAGATATCAAATATATATTAAAAAGTGTATTTGCATAACCTGAAGGCTTCATTTGGAATTAAAACAATAATGAAGGTATGAAACATTCATTCATTCTATTTGAACAGATAAACACGTCCTTTCTGTGTCCAGTCTTGTCAGAAATGTTGGTGTGTTTCTTTGGGAGACTAAAATATGTTTTTCTGGCAAAAGCCAGTGGTAATCCTCATGGCGGGCTGCCCTGGAATCCCCAGGCGAGTACATTACTGCAGCTGTGTCCAGAGTTTAAACAGGGAGCAGAGACTACGTGCTTCAGCAGCAAGTGACTGTATTTGACTGCATTGATTTATTCTGAGACAAAATAATCACCAACCTGTACTCTGAACAGGCGTTTGAAGCTGTCAGAGGTGAACTCTCTGCTAACCCTTTGCTAGATTTAATGTTGAGGATTAACACTCAACAGACAGACATGTCGGAAATGTGCACAGACTTGGCTCAGGGTCTATCCTCAACTTGGAACAACTTCAGCCTGGAAAGCCGCCTGACATTCTTTCCCAGAGAAAGATAAAAAAAGATAGAATAAGATGACGCATAATTCATAAAAAAAAAACTATTTCCTACTTTGTCCCTGGAGCTTATATTTCAATGTCCAAATATCAACTTTCATCTTGAAAACCCCACAGCATCTAAAATACAGGTTAATATTCATGTTCTTCAGCTTGATGCCAAACAAGTCCTTTAGAGAAAAATATCCCAGGGATACAAATCCTGCTTGTTTTTGTAAGCAAGTAAATCTAAGAGCAAATATAGAATTAACTGCACAACTTTAAATTAAATCACCTACTTTATTCACTCTCAGGTGGCTGCTATCATTAGTCTTTTATAAGAGCTGTGACCACCAACAATAATAAAAAGTCACCGACACATTAAATTATTCATCTATAGTTCATTTTATTAATTCCAAACTATGTATAACTAACACAAATACTAAGATATTATAGGTAGCATTCACGCACACAGCAAATGGACGGGTTTTACTTCAGTAATGCTCTGCAGAAGTTCGAGCACTGGTCCGCAGCCTGTTGGCTGAGTCGACACTAAGTTGTATGTACAGTGAAGTATAAAGAAAATTCGTTCATATTCTTGACAACAGAGAGTGAACATCCTCCCATGGGGAATACACCAGATTCACCCTGATATATTCTTTAAATCAATGCCCATTATTTTTCACTGCGTAATTTCTAGTCTTCATAGAGGCCATTAATGAGGAGGATATAGGCAGTGAGTTGAAGCCTGATACTCAAGCATTGGGTGTCTCGTTGAAAAACGGTTCATCACCGAAGTGCAATGAATTCTGGAATTGGCTGGGCTGGGAAAGATGGTTTCTCAGGGATGGAAGGACGCATTTGTCAGCCACATTTGTCAGAGCCTTCGAAATGATGGTGATGGTGTGCAGAACAAAAGGAGAGTTTAAAATCCACGGTATCAACGCAGCCTTTTCTATATCCATAAACCTCATAAATCCATTATCCCATATGAAACAGACTTTCAGTGTATAGCAGGGTGTCACCTCACAGCAAGAAGGTTTCCGGTTTGAATCCTGGTTCAGGTGGAGCTTTAATGTTTGGATGATTTATTTCAACCTAATTCTGTTGTTATTCTTCACTGGTTGTCTCTCTCCTTGACAGCAGAGCCAAACCACTGATATCAAGTAGAGCCCAAAACAAGCGAGAAAATCATAATGGTAAGCCACTACAAAGAAAACCACCATCAATGTGATGCATAACAAAGTCTTTGATATGTTTCTGCAGGAAAAAGTCTCTTTCCACCAGGAAACGTTTGTATTCAGGGTCTCCTGTCCACTCAGCAATGACGGAGCTGCAGCTGCAGGTTGGACATCGGCTGCATCCGTGTCCTCGTGAATGTCCTGATGACAGCTGAGGTGTGGTTCTTCATCCAGAGACTCAGTGATGGAGGGCATGGGTGTGGAAAGCAGTTTGCCCCTGCTTACAGACGGCCTTTTACCCACACTGAAACCTGTGTCTTTGTTTTTATCTTTGTTGGCCTGAGCCCCAGTGTGAACAGCCCTGAGACAGTGCATGTACAACTCCACCTCGTCGTCTGAGTCAGACTCTGCGCTGTCGTGGCCTGTTTGACTTTCGGGCTCATCTGTTAAAATGCACGAGTCTCCCTCCGCAGCCGAGGACAAACATTCAGCTTCTGATTGGTTATTTGTGACATTCTCGCCGCCTTGAGAATCCTCCTCTTTGTAAAGATCTATCTCAGCTGGAATGTGTGCACTTCCCTCCTCCCTGTCTTTGTCAGTTACTCTCTTGGCCTGCACACGGTTCATCTGAGCAGATAAACCTTCCTCCTTGATTTGTGTGACGTCTAACATCTCTTCAAAACATGACACTTCATCTTCTCCATCCTCTGCTGTCATGCTCTCTGAGTCTGGATCTCCAACCTTTAAGTCTTTCGCTCCATCCACTGCAATCTCCACCTCGTAATTTGGATTCTTCTCCTCTACGTTTTCCTCTCTTGGTTTTACTTGATCGTCCCACACCCTGCCATCATCATCTCCATTGTTCCAATATATTTCCATTTCTTCCTCCCCTTCTTGGAAATCTATCCTTCCGATAATGACCTCTTTCATTTCTGCAAAGTATTTTTCTTTCTCTAACTCTATCTCCTCTTCCTTCTCCACTTTAATATCCCCAACTCTGTCATCCTCCTCAGCTTCTTTCTCTTCTGTATTTTTGGCTTGAACATATTCTAATTCTCCCACCTTCCATATTTCCTCTCCATCTCTCTCCTTGTCCCTAAACCCCTCGGCATCAGCCTCAGTCCCGTTCTCCCCTGCACCTCTGAGCTCCTCGGCCAGGTCTTTTTCCCTCTCTGATGAATTTCTGTTTTCTAATCCTTTCTCTATCTCTGTGTCCTCTGACCGTCCTCTTTGGTCTGTCTCAGTGTCTGCTTTTAAACATGTTGCCTTGTTTTCCTCTTGATCTGCTAAAATATTCTTCTCATCCTCTTCAACCATCATTTCCCAGTTTTCCTCTTCAGTAGTGTCTGCTAAACTAAAATCCTCCTTCAGTAAGGCTGCTGTCATTGGTTCACCTTTAAAGGACTCTTCCTCTTTCGACTCAATAAATGTATCATTGTCACATGTTTCATTGTCATTCATTATTGCTTTTGTCATTGACTCATCTTCCGCGTTGTTGACCTCAGTTTCACCTGAATGTTCTATTTCATCCTCACACAGATTGTTAGTCGACTTGTTTTGTTCCTCCCCATTTCTAGATTCTGTCTGAGTTTCCTGAGAGTTCCTGGGTGTTGAGAAATAATTTCCCTCAGCATCTTCATCATCAGACACGTAGATATTCTCAGTTTCCTTTGGAGCTGAATGATGGATTGGGTTGGGAGTCAAATCACGTAAAGGTTCTACAAGGTTATCCATCACTGGAGATGCCTTGGTTGTTGATAATGTTGTGTGTTTACCATCCTTTATGTCATTTTCTCCACCCTTGTTGGTTTGTTTGACTGTCTCATCACCATCAGGCTGAAGTGGCAGAAGCAAACTTTTGACGCTGGCCATGACGTTCACAGCTTCAGTTGTTTCTCTATTAGTTTTAGTTTGTGAACTTGTATTCTCTGGAGGCTGAGCCTCTGCTGCTCCTGCTTTAGTTTTTTGGTTTTGGAAGTCACATGACAGACTGTCCTCCTGCGTGTCTTCCTGCTGATGCAAACTCTGAGTGGGTACTTGTGCACTTAACAAATCTGTATTTAAAATGTTTACTTCTGCATCTCCAGACAGAACATCAGATGTATTTTTGCACCCCTGATCTAAATGTACGACCTCACCTGGATGCTGTAGATTTTCTGTACAGTCCTGAATGTCACCTGCTGTCTCACACAAACGTGCCTGCTCTTCCTCATTGAGAGGATTATTTGAAGTGGCATCTAAGCACTCTTGGTTTGATTCCTGGGTGTTCATCGGAGTGCAGCAGTTCTCTTTTCCTTCAGTGTGAGGATAATCATAAGTTGATTCTCCAATACTCAGTGTTGCTCGAATAGGATTTCCCCTCTCATCTAAGTTTTCACTCTCACTTCCCGCTCTGCCAAACATGTGCTGATACAGTGGAGCCACCACAGTTCCAAATGTGAAGCTGGTGTTTTGGCCAACAAGGCCTTCGCTGGTCACTACTGAAGTCACTACTGCAGTGTTGTTAGTGGATTCATAACTTGTGTGTTGCTCCTGAGTTGCACCCTCAGCTCTGCAGACAGACTTTGCAGGAGCAGACTGGTCATGTGAATGCAGTCGGTTATCTGATGTATCTGTGGCACTCCCACCAACTGTTAATGTTGCAGAGTCAGTCACATCTTTGCTCTCAGATTTCTCTGGCTCACTGTTAGATGCGCTGTCATTCCCCAGTGACGTATCATGTAGAACATCAAGGAGGGATTTGCTGAGTGTTTCCAGAGACTCTGAATGCTTTTCCACCTGCTTTTCTTCTCGTGCTGCCTGTTTTGCTTCTAGAGGGGTTTGATCCCTTTCAGTGTCGCTCCCTCCCATCCTTTTTTGAGCAAAGTGGTCCCTCACCCGAGCCATCCGCGCGGCCTTCCTGTTACTTCTTCTTAGGCTGCTGAATCGTCTATTCTCGGTCTGTCCATCAACAACAAGAGAAGATTAATTTTGGCCATGCTGCTTTGATAAAAGGGAGTGGGCCGCATTTAAAGTTATAAGTCACACAGCGTTTCTCTAATACTGAATTAAAAAATGCATGCATGTCAAATATGAGACACAGGGGAAATGCAAACAGTATGAACTTATTGACCTGTTGGTGCAAAGTGCATGATGTTCGGCTCGAGCTTCTCATGCTACAGTCATTTGAAATTCTCTCAGAAAGTGCACCCAGGCTCATATTAAGTTTTCTGTTTCTCCTTCCCCTCAAAAACATGTTCCCTTTCATAGATACTAGTGTAACAAACCTGCAAACCGAAATGTATAATCTTGTTTATTAAAATGCATTTGGCAACTTAATAGTCTGAAGGCAAAAAACTAAATGTGTTAGTAAACTGGTTTGTTATGTTTTGTGTCAAGTAATAATGGAGAAAAACTTTTTTACTCACCTTTATTTTTTGTCCATCTTCACCATCAGAGATTTGCTTGGCTTTCATCATAGTCGCTTCCTCTGCATATTTTGACACAACTGGAAAAAAGCAATATTGCACATTTATTTTGTCATTCTTCAAAATAAATTTATATTTTCTTCGGTTCAAAATCAGCAAAATAAATATTCACCTGAAATAGCTGAAGTATTCTCCTCAGGTGAAGCATCAATGGTTGAGATGTTTTCCGCAAAGAAGTTCTGACTGTGAATTGAAAAAATAAAAATGATGTCTCTGTGTGCCTCTCACCATTCTACCATGACGACGACAATGCACAATACTACAGAGGAGCTTTCTTAACGATATGAAATAATTTGCTTCAAACGTTAACAAAAATGTAGACTTCACATTGTCTCAAGTTTAACAATCTGAGATAAACCTAAAATACACTTGCCTAATAAATCTTTTTTATCACATCATGTACAATTGAACTGCTTATAAAATCTAAATGTTTAATCAAAAAACAAAATTCAAACAATACTTGCAACAACAACTTCAATTAACTTCATCGGGTGCTTGAATAGCCAATATTCTTTGATTTGAATGGCAGAAATTGGGCAGTCTATTCTTCCATCCATTAAAAATCCTTCACAGTTAAACACACAGCTCTTCACCTGACTGTCTTAAGGCAGCTTTTCTTGTTCACATTGTCCCTCTGCGGTTTATCCTTGACTCTCTGGTGACAGAACAGCACATAATTCCTGTTGTTGTTGTTGGCCCAGAACGTCCCCACAGGAGTCTCGTACCGCAGACAAAACTCGACTCTGGCTCCCGGTTCTCCGAACGGGGGCACCAAGGTGAGCTTGAATGAGAAGCAGTCCATCAGACCGTCATTGGAACCGGGGATGTACTCTGTCAGGAGGTCAAAGTAGCTGGACCAGGTGTCCAACGTGGTTCGTACATACACTGCCTTACTAAAGGAGATGTTGAGGACACGGATAACGCCTTTCAGTATCGTAGTCTTCGGAAGTAACTCGATTGTCTCCAGCTCCAACCTCTGGTCCCGCACTTTGACGAACAGCTCCTCAGTGGACAACGGAAGGGTGAATGTGTGAGGAGACAGGAAGTACTCCTCTGCTTCTTCACCCTCAGAGGTGCCGTACCCTGGCAGCTTGGGTACATTAAGTGTGTCAAACTCCCTCACTTGCACCAAACTGAGGCCCTTGGTGTCTGCAAAGGACACTCTCCTGGAGCTGGAGGGGGGCGGCTCGGGGTCTGAGTCGTCGTCAGTGGAAGAGCTCCTTCTCCGTGGGAGGGGAGAGGATTTGGGCCTGATCCCGATAACCACTTCACCCTCATCACTGTCTACGTCCAAGGAGCTGTGGCCTGGCACTTCTAAGAGGTTACTGGTCTCGGAAAGTCTCGGCTGTCCCACAAACTCCATGGGTCTCTTTGTGAGAGAGTCAGCAAGAAATGACTTGCAGTGCTTCTGCTTCTGGCAACTGACATTCAACATGCTCTGACTTAACAGATGGAGTCGAGTTACAGATGACATTGTTGCAAGGGCCAACACTATAAATAGGCCAGAGGGGACTTAAACTATGTTTAGTAATCTAAGCTCAGGAAGAGAAAATATCATCCTCTTTGAGACAGAGCGTTGTGATATATCTGCAATATAGATCAATGATTATCTTATTTGCTGTCTGTAAAACTCTGTCAAAGTAAGTTTTAAGTTTTTTTGTCCCAACTGCTCTGATCGCTCTCTGAGGATGGTATTTGCAGGACACCTATGTCTTTTACCTTGATGGCTATTTGTGTTTTGTTGCTTTTGCCCCATGGGTCACATGAGGTCTAAAACAGACCAAATGGCCTTTACATATTCTTCAGGTCTCAAATATATAGGTCAAATATTCACCTCTGACCAATCACTCACTCTCTGAGTCTGACATGGGGAGAAAAAACTTTCCCTCATAGGTTTATTCCTTAATGTGCTCTTCCCATCGAGATTAAACTGTGGATGCTAGAATCACACAGTTTACTGTTGTGTTACTTCCTTTGTCTATGTCAAGTTTAAGACATGACCAAAATGATTAATTCATAATCTTATTGAGCAAATATAATGCATATTTTAATAGTGAGTAACAGTGTTTTGTCTGACCTCCACCCTCAGATATAAACAGTATAAAGGCATGTTAAGTTATGCAGAAAACAGGAGGGATCGGATAGAGGCAGGGTACTTCAAATAGTAAAAATTATAGATAAATACTAGGGATAGGAAGAATAAGACAACATCTATCTGTCCTACCAGGATGCAACCTCAGGAGCCATTTTTGAAAAAAAAACAATACTAGAGGCTGTCAGCACCTATGGGAGTTTCCTCACAGACCCAGTCCATCCTCCAGAGACCACGAATAGCTCCTCAGACAATCCTTCTCCTAAGAATACACAGCCGTTCACCTTCGCTCTCCTATGCTGCTCGTATCACCACAGTCATCCTCTCCAATGGTGGAGAGGTTCCTTTGTGAAGGTGAGCCTCTGCGGGGCCATCTCTGAGGTCGCCACCAAACTCACTTGAGAGACTTCAGGCGGCACAGGAACGCTGTGGGAGGAGGGAGGAGGGATAACATAGTGACAGGGTTGAATGGAGAGCGGCTGCTTTGTGGGGAAGATCTGTGAGACGAGGCGTTTGGGTTTTCTGGAGCCCTCTGCAGGAACCTTGGAGGTATCAGCTGAGTTCATAGGACTGGACTCAACCATGCTGTCTGCCCTGGAGCGTCCATGTGGGCTGGGTACATCCCCCCAGCTGAATGAGACAGTGCTGTTTTTCTGTCAACCACACTGATGTGGCAATATACAACTGGGACAACACACAACAGTCAACCCGTGCCTTCCTAACTGCACTGTATGAAGACAAATAACATCACAACACCACCGGGACAACCCTGCAGGACTCCTGGCTGCTGATGTGTGACCCTCATCCCGAAAGAGTCAATCAAACCTTTGCCTCACAGAGTCAACTTTTAATTTCACTCCTTGAGCTGCTCAGCAAGGTTTTTATCCTTGCGGCTGAATACACTGAACACACTGTGCTACTTCTAATAAATGCCTCAGGACAGGTAAATACTGATCCAGTAGGTGGCAGAAAGTTACCTTGGTAACAATATCTACATTTCCATCATTAATTGCTCTAATATCTGCCCGAACAAACAGAGAAAAAAACATTTTGGCCTCAATGTTCAACTGTCTCTTACATAAATACATACATAATAAAAATAGTTTAATCTTTGACATGTGATCGAGATATTACTCTGTATATTTATGTTGTTTGTGCATACTTGCACTACGACAAGAAATAAACACGGAAATATAAAAGCATGTGAAATGAAAATAATGTATTCAAGGCTTCTGTTCCTTACCTTGATATCCCTCTCATCTCCGCAGAAGAGAACGAGTCTTGATGTTAGAACAGCCTGGCCTCTGCTGCACCTGCAGTCTGTAAAACATGCTCCACAATAAAGAGCTGACGTTAAAAGAAAAACAGCTATAGGTTTGCATAAAAGAAAAGTAAAAATAAATGGTCTGTATTTATTTAGCTCTTTGCAGACCAGTTTTTGCCATTCACCCATGCACACACGACTCATACAGTGCATCTATATGAAGCACCTTCTCTATCACATGTTACTCTTACACTCAGGGGCCGTTTGGAATTCAGTTTCTTGCCCATGGACACTTGGATACGCAGAATGGGGGAGACTGGGATCAAACTGCACTGCGGAGCTTCTGGTTAGTCGACGACCCGCTCTACCTCCTGAGCCACAGCCACCCCAATACATAATAGTACATAGAAGAATACAAGAGAATGAAAAATTCTAAACAAATATAAAAGCATGAACAAGTTTTATTATATCAGAGTCGTTTCAGGTGTCTGTGTTGAGCTTCTGCACTCCAGGTGTTTATCAGCGGTCTGAGTAACATATTTGTATTTGTTTGTCGAAGACACATTAATGTGCTGTTCAAGTAAAAGTGCACTACCCTACTGTAAATAGCTCTTTGATAACAGTTTGACAGTTGAAGCCTCAGAGCTTTTTGTTGTTTAAATTTCTTATGTCTAAATAAAGTCACAGACAACTATACTTGTCTTTTCTCAAAGGGCCCTTTCTTTTAACCATTAAAGACTATAAACGATGCTCAGATTGAGGATATTTGTTACCTGATTGCATACGTCTATGAATATCAACAAAGAAAATGAATGCATTCTATGGTGGAAAATTTCTGTGAAACAAGCACAAAGTCAAATACTTCTTTCCGTTAGTTTAATTCAGCATCTGCAGATGGACTCACTGTGCACATCACCTGAATGACATGTATAAATGAGCAAAGAACACAGGAGAATCTGTGTACTTATAACTCACATGCAGCCCTCTTCCTCTAAGCATGCAAAGGTATTTATTACCCTCCCGTTGTTTCACTCAGTGGAGGACACTTCCTGTCTTTACGTTGTTTACATGTTTGTGGATGACCCCTGAAGTGAGATCCCAACCAGAGATACCAAGAGATAGCATAAAGTTGTGGTTTCTCAAGGCTATAAAGTTTCTTAAGCTATCATCGTAAACCTAAAGTTGCCCTTTTAGATAAACAACTAGGTCAGTCCTCCACATACACCTCTGCTCATGCAATTATACATACACAAAAGTTAATGATAATGTTGTCATGCTACAATATAAATTATGTTTTGTATTATTTAGATGTGCTGTGTATTGATTTGTGTGAATTTCTAGGGAAGCTTGAATGTAAAAAATCTCCACTACTCACCAGGTGCACTCTCTTATTTTAATGATTTCAAGCCCCAAAATAAAAAAAAATGATCTGCAGCTCAGGCTGATTTTTAACCATCTTTTTTCACAACCTGGTGATCAACTTCTTTTCTCTGTCTGTCTAATCCAGTGACTGAAGCTGTGGCTCCTCCCTCTCAGGTAGACACACAGCAGGAGCACTTTCTCCCCCATCCTCACTCCAAACCGTATGAGTGGGAGACACCAACTCTGCCCGGCTGCTCTGCCTTCGACTAAATGGTGAGTGTGTTTATAATGTTATTCTGGGAGATTTAAAGGCATCACAGCGCTCTCTGTTATGGACATGTGATGACGGTTTCTTCTTGTGTTGTAAAACTCCTGTTTGTGCCCAGTCTAAGATGTGAGAGGTTGGATTTTATTGCTCATATGTGTGGTTCTTTAAACTATATCCACAGCATGTCATTACATTTCAAACCTTTCATTATTTGTTTCAATTGTGCAAATATTCTTTTTCTTTCTCTTTGTTTGCCAATTATAGAACTGCCCTGCTTTGTATTTTTAAATATCACAAAGTCTATATTTTTTCTTGCCTTGTGTTCAGTGCAACGCCACATGAAGGTGTGACGTAGCAGCTATGCTGAAGTGTATCATCGGTGTCTTTCGGTGATTTAATGTTGAATATTTTCTTTCAGGACCTGAGCTGGGATGCCTGAGTCTCCTCTCAGTCCCACGGCAGCCCGTCAAACTCCAGCAGCCAGCAGCCTGCTCAGTCACACAGACAACAGTGCGGCAGAGAGAGTTGCTAATGGGGACTCCTGCCGTGGAGTGAGTGGTGAAAACTGGCAGAGTCTCCACCATAAACAGGTACCTTCATCCTGCTCTTCTTTTTCCTTCCTCCTCTTCATAAGCGAGAAATAGCCCAGTCTTTGGCAAACAGATGTCAGGAGAAAAACAAACCAGTCAGCTCCACATTGGACACGCTCTGACAGGACACCAAACACAAGCTTGCAGTTCTGTGGACAGTGACAGGGAATTTATTTGAGATCTGATCCAAGCTGGGAGGTGACATGCAGACAACTCTGTTTGTACTTAATTATTAGTTTGCATGTCAGAGCCTGGAGGAGTGACTGTCCACAGACCTCTGCCAAACAAGTGGCAGTGAAAAGTGCAGTGAGCATGGCCCAAGATCATTTTATGGTTGTCTGTGTCGATTCCATCCCTGGGCATCTTACTCTCAGGGATCATTGAAACAACAAGATAATGAGTGTGTGGTCGTCTCCGTCTCCTTCAGACTGCTCCTCATCCTGACAGTCTCATCCTGTTCTCCTAATTCACTTTGAAAACCTGGACTTGTAAAGGCCTTAAACTTCAAACACCTTCAAATATTTGAACAATATTAAAAAAATATTGCTCCTGTGCAAAACTAATGGTTTCATCTTAATGGTTGCCACGGTTGACGATGCTGTCTGTCGTGATTCCAGTCTTCAAAGCATAATAATGACTTGTGATATGAACGTTTTTCAATGTTAAACCCTAAAATGTTACAGTGTTACACTTTTGACAATGAAGAGTGGGCTTCTCTCATAAAAGAGCAGGGCCTCATTGTGTAATGTGTTGTGTCGCACACCACACATTTAAATGGTATCAGTGCCTTATTTAAAACTTTGCGTAAAAGAAAATTCAGGAGAGACACAGAAAGTAAAAGATTAAACCTGCAGCTGTTTTTTTCCCTGATACATTAGATACACAAAATGTATAAAACTGTCCACCACCGTTTCCCCAGTCTAAGGCAGCATCTTTAAAGTAGTTGTTGGGTTCAGTTACACTACCCTGCACATTTTCATACATGTTGCTAACTTCTGGTAGAAACACCAGGTTTGTTGACTGGTGCAACCAGTACTATGATAATTAATAACGTGATTATTTATATCGTAGCGATGATGTTTATTGAGATGAGATGATTTGGGTAAATTTGGCAATATTAAATTAGGAAACAAAACGATTTCCTGTTCCCCCAACATGTAGAGAGCAGTTTTTGTGTACATATACACTTTAAATAGTTGAATAAATACTGCAATTGATCACACAATTCTTCATTGGCAACAGATCTTACTGCTGTTTTTGAGAAAAGATGATTACAACATATTTATAGTAATAATTTAATATGCAGTTTGAACACAATTAGAAGAAAGTGACTTGCTACATTTGAATAAGAATAGTTAAAAGATATTTTGTGTTATAGCAGATGTATTAAAGAGTCATAGGTGTTGAGTTGCACAGCTGAGAGCAGTATTCCGTCCTTTGACCTTGAAGTCAACAGGTTGTGTGAATTGAGAGAGGTTCAGAATGAATCACATTTTCTTCTGTTTTGCCTTTATTATAATGAGTTAAAATTATTAATCACATTAAATTACCTTTCAAAAGCAGAACTGTTCTGGTGTGCTTGCATTTGTTTAGTATTAATATTGATGCTTTGTTTTCCTTCTTTCTTTTTTGTTCTTCTTCTATATAATGGTAAATTTACCACACAAGAATAAAAATAAATCAATCAAATATAATTGGCTGTTAATGCTTCATGAAACTATAAAACTCATTAACACTGTTGTTGCTTGATTTTCTTTAGTTGATCAGTGCATTAATCAATATAACAATTGTTAACAATAACAATATAAGATAACAATTGTTATCTTAAATATGACCAAATCATGAATAACAGATACAGGTAATTCAGATACTCAGATACTGTGTGTGCTGAAACAGCAGATCTATAATCTGATTTACTGTTAGTGTTGTTTGTGTGGGATTATCTCAAAAGACTGATTTCAAAAACATCTTATTTTATTACATCCAAGATTTTACACCAATAGAGATAAAGTGAGTTTTTACTGAAACCTATGAAGAACATAATCAGGTCACAGCCTCTGCACATATGCACAGAAAATTGGATTTTATGTGTGGAAATAAAGAGATATTTATCATTTAAACTAATAAAATAATAACCTCTATTTTTCCAATAAATAAATTGGTAGCAAACAACTATTCTATTCTATATTTGTACTATTTCTTAGGATTATTTGTAATACAATATATCAAATTTGTAAGCACCTTTTGTTGTTTTGAAAATGCTGTCATGGCAATTGCCGCTGCCTCTGTTTGACTAAAACAGGAGATGGAGACAATCATTCTGTTATTTGACGCTCAATCAGTAACAGTGCAGATCAGTTATTATTCTGCCAGTGTTTGCCTTTATTAATACCCATACACTTCTATTAAGAGTGACAACAAGCGTGTAATTGTGTTGCTAATTAACTGGTCAGCCCATCTCCCATCTCATTTGGGGTCAATGACACAATCCGACATTATGATGTTCACAAAAGGTTGACAGCACTGTTTGGTAATTGGATTGGAAAGATTCCCATTGGATGGTTATTACTGTTTAACACTTGACACTTGCCTTGTGTCGGGTGCACTTGTCCTCTCGCCTTCACTCTGCAGACTGTTTCTCCTGCATCATCTTATCCCTCCTCTTCCTCTTGAAGGTGTGTCTGGCGATGATGGCTCCTCAGCAGCTTCAGCAGCTGCTCTCTCCAAACCAGCTGCAGGCTCTGATCCACCACAAGCAACAAGCTCTTCTGCTCCAGCAGGTATCTATAAAATACTTACACCAATACAAGTGGTGCCAATGCACAGGTCTCTGGTAAAGCTGACTGTGCATTTGTAGGATAACGTATTTTTATATTTGACAAATACTTATGGGACTGAAAATACTTATATAACTAAAGGAATAAATGCAAAATAACATACAATTGAATGTTTTGCCATGGCTGACTGTAACTACAGTAATTACTGCTATATAACATAATGACAAAAAACATATAATGCAATATACCTTGACTGACTGTCCATACTGTAACTACAGTAATCAATCCTATATAATATAATGCATTCAAATTACAATGATTGTATAAAGTTAACCTAGCCAACTGACCTTATTGCGACTCAAGGAATAAATACTTTAACATAGTGCAACAAAAAATGTAATGCAATATTAAGTTAACCTAGCTGACCCTCCATACTTAAGTAAGTTAAGTCCGCTGAGGCAAACTAACAGAAAACCACAAAACCACTGTGAGAAACCAAGTTTGACCATCATTCAGATAACTGGTACACTAAAAAAAAAGAAAGTCTAGAAAGTAGTAAGCATCATATACAGACCTTAAAATGTGAATATTTAACCCAATTGTTTTTTTGACAAAGAATCTAATCACTGTCTGATCTGAGAAAAAACCACACACTTGAATAAAGAAATACTCTGGGGACAGAAATATTTTGACAGTTGGCCTTTTATAACTTGTGTATATAGTAGTTTACTATTTCACCAAATTATTGTAAGTTGTTTGAGAATGAATTATGTGTCTTTGAAATAATGGTTCACCATATTCCAGCAACATCTGAAAGAGTTTTACAAGACTCAACAACAAAAGATTCACCTGCAGCTGCTTCAACAGCGACCCAGCAAGAAGGTCAAGGAGGCAAGTGGTGTAGTCTATTATATTTACATTTGTTATTATTATTATCTGTTATTATACATTGTTTTATTTCAGTTTATTTGACTGCAATGACTGTATAAAGCATAAAAATGCATTTAAATGAAATAAAGATAAAGATATAGACCCATGTCTCCACTATTTCCAGAATATGAACTGAACAGTGGTAGTAATCATGTTCCTGTAGAGACAGCACGTTCATGAGCTTGGTCTTGTTTAGGATACAATGTTCTATGTTTCTAGCCGTCACAGATGAGATTTTGAGTGTGAGATTATCAGGAGACAGTAGAGTGAGAGCAGAGTTTTACATGGATATTACCCCACTTTTCTGCAAAATGTGTTTTTTCTCCTTGTCTCCTCCAGCTCCCTGCACAGCAGCTCGTGTTCCAGCAGCTCCTCCAGCTCCAGCAGCAGCAGCAGCAGCAGCAGCAACTCTTCCGGGTGCAGAGACCAGTCCTGTCCTCTTCTACCCTCCCTCCAGGTCACTGCTCTTTACATTTATTACCAGGGTTAGGGTTAGCTCAGTTATGTACCTGCACTAAACCTGCCTGTTTGGTTTGGACTGTCTGCCTCAGAATTATTCCTTGTCATTAGTGAGTCCACCTCGAACAGTTCCACAAAATACTGTCTCTTTTTATTGTTTGTGTGCTGGACATTGTGTGCAGAGCATTTTATAAACAGTCTATGGTGCAGAGTAAAGTTTGCGTTCATCCTGCCTGGTTTATCTCCAATGAAGATCTCATAGTCAATGTGTGGCTTGTATAGAAGTTTGAAGGATTTCTGAATTGCTGTTATTTTGTGCACATTATACATTGCATGTTGGCAATGTATTGGCACAGAGAGCTGGTTGGCTACTTGTTAATTTTTAATTTATATTTAACGTAGCATATGTAAAAAATTGCGCCAAACTCGACACTGCACTTCGCCAGGCAATTTAGAATCCACATGCCAAATGTGAAGCTGATTAGATGAAGGGTACACGAGATATGCGTTCCACATACAGACAGAAAGAAAGAAATTGTAGTTGTGATAATTATTCTTGGATTACAGGAAAGAGGTAAAAGAAGGAGAAAGAGATGCTCAGCCAGTTTCTCCAGAAGAAGTGACTGAATGTGAAACAGATTTTTAAAAAATGTGTGAACAGAAAAATGACTCATAATCTTGCTCAACATACAAAACATACTGTTTGTTTCTTTACGTGTCAGTGGGTTTCAGCCCAGCGGAGCTGCAGCAGATATGGAAGGAGCTGACAAATGGATTAACTGACGATAAAACCGCGATTAAAGGCAATCATGACTCTTCCACTGACGACATCAGGTCAACACAGGTCAGGGGGAGACAGGCCGATGACCAGCCGCCTCTCTCTCCTCACAGGACCGAACGGTAAGATCAGTCTGCTCCTGCTGTAAACAGACACTCCCTCTCTTATAAAACATCTAACACTCGTCACCAGCAGACGTCTTCTTCTCGTCGAGCTGCGGGTGGGGAGGCGTTATCTTTTGCAGCGATGCTTCACTTTTAATTCCCCTCGAGATGAGAGATTTTGTTTTGCTTGTTTGCTTTGTGTTCCACCACCTGAAGTGGTTATGCGCAAAAAAAAAGTTTACATGATGTCCCAAATCAAAAGTAAACACTTTTCTATTTATTTTTCAGTGCTCCCTTCCAACGTCTCTCTGTCATTTTTCTCCACCCAAACAGAAAAGAACACACTCTCATGTCTGTTTCATTGCTGTTGTGCTCTTGTTCTCTTAGTGTTGTTTGGCTGCTGTGGTTTTTTTAATGATGACAATACTTTTCCACTCTCCTTCTTCACTTCCTTCGTCTAGTGCTGATCGTGCTGCCTCACATGTTCTCTACAGTCATGGTGTGTGTAACTGGCCCGGATGTGAGACAGCGTGTGAGGACTTGAACCAGTTTATCAGGTATTTAATCTCCATCCTAATGTATTTCAGCTTCAGACGTTTTTTCAGATCTCTGTTTAAGATTCAAAGTAATATTTCATATTTTCAGTAAAAAAAGAGTCAGCTGCCCCAGTTTGAGCCTCTTATGAATTATCATTGCATTTGAGTGACAGAACTAAGCATCTGTTTTTCTGAAATATAAAATCTCTGGTGGTTGGTTCACAGCACTTATTGCTGTTTACTGCATATTTTCAGAATTGGCAAAGATCCTCCAAACCATGGGCATTAAAAAAAAAACTCTGCAGCAGATTTTTGAACAGTTGCCAAGTTGCAATTTCCAAATTTATTTAACAATATATTAAATAACCCTGCACATATTTATTAATTTTTAATTAAAAAGATTTAAAGTCATTCATCTCTGGCGGCAGCAAGTGGCCAGAGGCAATAGTTTTTTGGGTTGTTCATCCGTCCCTTTGTCCTGAACATCTCCGCTTTAGTGGAATTCCTTCAAATTTTGTCCAAGCATTTAGTTGGTAAGATGAACTGATTTCGGTGGTCAAAGGTCAAAGGTCAAGGTCACAGTGGCCCCACAAAACATGTTTTGGCCTCTTGAACATAAATATCTAAAGCCTGACTATGTTCTCGACATTTTGACCAGTTGTCACTCGGACTCAAAGATGAACTGATTGGATTTCAGTGGTCAAAGCGAAGGTCACAGTGAATGTAAACAATTTATGAAGACTGAAACTGTAATGGGTGGTGGGGGCAGGGTGATGATATAGTGATATAGTTGTATTTATCATTCAGGAGGATATTGTTTCATACAGAAAAGAGGATTCTGGAAAAAAATTCAAAAGTGCTGTAAAACAAGCTTCAACCATTTTTCAGAAACACTGATGTTTATCTCAGTTACAAATATTAAGAATGTTTTTTAGAGCGATGCTGGGACAGGTATATGGTGCTATGGTGTATAGAACTATGGAATTGATTTTTCAGTGGAGCATTGCTTCGCTGCACTTGTGTGTGTTTCAGGCACATAAGCATTGAACACACTCTGGATGACAGAAGCACGGCGCAGTGCAGAGTCCAGATGCAGGTGGTTCAGCAGCTGGAGCTTCAGGTATGAGGCATGAGTCCAGTAAAATCTGTCCAACAACGAAAGTTAGAGCCACATGCAAATGATGCATATCTGCACAAAGAAAACCGAAATAGAATATTGTTCTCCACTTCTCTTCCCTGAGGTTTTACCACCTAAACATCTTCTTTCTCTCAGTCTATTCATGTAATGTTCAGGCAACACCTCCTTCTCCTCCCTCTTGATGTTTGACACATCAGGAAAATGTACTTTGCAAAATGTGTCTGGTTCACAGCCTCCCATTTCAAAGATCTGTGCTCAGTGATTTTGAACGCAACGCCATCCACAGATCCCCTCTCCCTCCCTCCATCTCCTCTAACAGCTCTGCAAAGAGCGGCAGCGTCTGCGGGCGATGACGGCTCACCTGCATCTGCCATCTCTAGAAGCTCAGTCGCTCTCGGCACCCGCGAGTCAACAGTTGCCTGATATGACTGATATGGCTGCTGACCCACGAGCTCCACAGGTAGTGTGTGTGGTAATAGCTGTGTGAATGGCAGCGACACAGTAAATGAGCCGTGAACTCTGTGTGTATGTGTGTTGCATTTCAGAGCTGTGAGCACAACAGCAAATATGTGGTGGAGAGTCGAACCGCCATGTGTCTGCCTGCAAACTTATCTTCTCTGGATGAGGATGCAGCCGGCCTGTATTTGACCTGGGAAACTTTTACAGTTGGATGAGTTGCAAAAAATATGTTGTTATTTTCTTTGAAACAAAACAATATGGGATGAGGGTCAGAATCTTTTGAACCTGCTCATGCAGATGCATGTCTGCAAAAAGTTTCACTTTTGGGAAGCCTTTTCTTTTTGTACTTAAAAGCTCAAACTCTCAACTGCAAAACAGGATCCTTCCTTCCTGTTTCCTTTCCCCCTGGTGCCCAGCTGTTGACCTCACATGGCCGCCATTGTGTTTTCATGCAGCGGAAATACTCTGATTGTGTAGAAGCTAATCATTTGTTAATCTTGCAAATATTGCACGTTAATCAAAACACTCACCAAACAATTTCACCCTGTAATTAACAATAATTTCTTGTGATATTAGTGGACTCACCTCTGAGGAGGCGAATCGAATCGCTCTGTTACACTGGGAGTCTCTCTGTCTGATTTGTTTTGTCTGTCATTCGCCTGCTGCTTTATTAACTTGGTCAACATGTGTCCCTCTCAGCTCAGTTCCGTCACCAGCGACCTGTCCCCACTGAACTCATCAGACGGGGTACAACTGGGTCCATCCCAGGGGTGTGAGGAAGAGTCGCCCACTCGTACAGAATGTGCCGGGGCCATAAGACGTCGTCAGCACCCTCTGGTCTACTCGCTGTCCTCAGGTAAATCTAGAAATGCACATAGAGAGATGGTTCATATTAAATATTCAATGTGCTACATCTCTAAATGTCTTATTTTTATGAAATCATAACCACTTGACAATTATAAAATGCAGACCAGCAAAATGACAATACATTGATAATGCCACCAATTTAGGGTTTCCTCATTTCCAGGGACGGAGGTTGCATCTCCATTTGGTTAAATTGTGACTATTATATATAAGGTTCAGCTATGTGGTATTTGTGGCGCCCCCCACCACTTCCCAATTTAGACCTCAACATATCCACCAAGATTAGTGATGATTGGCCCAATTCAGATACAATTCACTAAGCCCCGCCCTTTGCAATGATATTTTGCTTGACAAAGATTAGTCAAAAAACCAACATGGGTGGTCATGTTGGTTTTTTGACTAATGTTTGTCATGAGAAAGCTAATCGGGATGTGTATCTCCGTCCCTGAGGCTGTAAACCAGGTTTGGTCAATGGTTCCATTAATTTTAACCGTTTGCATCAGGCTAAAAGTTTGACCCCATGACGACCTTGAGCTTTGATGAGGAAAAAAACCCTCAATACTGAAGGTCGTTACCCAAACCAAGCACCAGGTTCATTCAACAAAACTGCTTCAATTATCACCGTGACACACAGACAGACGTCACTGTTTACAACACACCTGCCCTCTACCACTTATCAAATAATGTACTGTAACTAATAACATTGTCACTTTGAGCTTTATTCCACTTTCTACTTTCAGAAAATGAGTATGAGCTTTACAAGAACAGTGACATCAGACCACCGTTCACCTACGCAACACTGATAAGACAGGTACCATCTTTGACTCAATCAGCTTTGCTCTTTCTTATCATTATTCTTATCATATATATATATATATATGTGTGTGTGTGTGTGTGTGTGTGTGCACACATGCATTTTTGTGTATGATTTTCTTCAAATTTCTATTGAAGCATCCAGATGTTTTCCACGTGAGCTCATTCATTGGAATCACTTATGAATTTTCTGTCAAAAATCACCTGGTTTAAGTTTCCAGCTTTGCTTATTTTCCTGGTTGTCTGTGACAAGTCTGTATATTCTTTGGTTTTAGTATTGAATGGTACAATTTATAGTTTTATTTAAAATTTACAATGAATGAATAAAAAATCATGCCCAAATCAGTGGATCATGAACACAGCCTTTATTTTCAGCCCTACACCTGTACACGATGTCACAGAGAAGGCTACTGGCTTTAATATACTAAAATAAATCATATTACAAGTTTATATATGGAGCTGAAAAAAAATGTCATCAGTTTTTTGAGTGTATAATTTTCCCCTCATCTCTTTTATTAGCAGTGAAACAGTCATGGCTTTGATTTGATCCTATCATATGTTTATTTCCTCTCCAGGCGATTATGGAGGCATCAGACATGCAGCTGACGCTCAATGAGATCTACAACTGGTTCACACGGACGTTCGCTTATTTCAGACGCAACGCTGCCACTTGGAAGGTATCACCCCCGCAGATAATTAACTCTGTGATAGCAGCGTGTGTGTCGCACCTGAATTATGCAGGATGTACTCACTCAGCTCCTCCACTCTGATTTTCTCTGGATCAGAACGCTGTGCGCCACAACCTGAGTCTGCACAAGTGCTTTGTGCGGGTGGAGAATGTGAAAGGTGCCGTGTGGACGGTGGATGAGCTGGAATTCCAGAAGAGGAGATCCCAGAAGATCACAGGGTAGAGTAGATAACACCCTGCTTCATCACAGATCTATTATCAACATGAACTTGAATATAATAATGATAACTTTATGATATCTATAACACATTCAAGGACTTCACAAAGAGGTAAAAAAAAAAACTGGAAAACAGAAAGGAAATCATTGAAAATGAACGAAGCAAAGTTTTTCTTTTTCTTTGCTTCAGTATTCTAGAAAAAAAAAACTGGGGCTCATGGATTGACAGAAGGTAACAAATGCATTAAAAAAGCATAAAGCAAATACAAGCGTCCATGTCCTGTGTTCTCCCTGTCGACAGAACTGAATCTATAATACAGCTACTGTATTGAACATGATTGTTTTTTTTATTGTCTGTACTAAATTAATGATTATGATGAGTGTAACTATGACGACAGTTTCGAGGCCTTGTCCCGATCATTCACTCAAATTAATTATTTGTCATCATAACTGACCTTGCCTCAAACGATTGCTGTTTACCGTGTTGTTTCATCAGTGGAATATATACGTTATTGACTTGCTCTCCATAAATTAGACATAGAAATTGCCTATGTCTAAATAATTTAACCTTTGTTACTCTGCAGGAGTCCATCACTTATTAAAAATGTGTCTTCGAACCTTGCTTTCGGGGCAGCTCTGACCGCCAGTTTGCAGGTGAGCGGGCGTGTTTGAGCGCAGCCTCTTGATTAAAGGTGTTTGAGCTGGTTGATCTGTGAAGATAGCTAAATTGTTTTTATCAATTGTTGTAGACAGCGCTGGCTGACACATCACTGCCAGGATTCACGAAGGAAAGTGCGAGCAGGAACTGCAGGAGTCAAACACAGGAGAGCAAAGCAGCAAAGAGCGACGGCCACAGTCACCGAAACATCCTCGCACGTGTCCAGCAGTGAGTTTATTTCAAAGTCTAAAAATCGAATGACTCGTGTACAAAAATGAATTTTCCAATATTTAGTTTTTTCCCCTCTTGCAGGTCTCCTTCCCTTAAAGAGGAAACAATGACTCTGAATGAACCAGAACGTCAGATGGCGACTGTGAAAGCAGCCGCTCTGCAGCATCGCATGACTGAAAATGACCAGGAGCACTTGTTCGACCTCGAATGACCCTTGACAGTGGAGATCTTTTAATTATAAAGCAGTAAATTCATTGAGCATTCAGAGATGTGGGCCAAACAGTTCCCAGTATGTACAGAACAATTGTGATTTCATTTAATGAACATCTCACCGTGCTGTCAGCTAATCACCAAAACTGGAATTTAAATCTGATCAAGTCCATAAAAGTCCTGTTTTTCAGCAGTTTCTCACAAAAGTAGTAAAAGAGAGTGAAATAAAGTAACACATATGGATTCTGTGTTCACCCTGGACCTTTTCAATCATTTTTGTAAATATTCAAATTTATAGGTAAATGAGAAAATATTTCTGACTGTAAAACAGGAGCAATAAATGTATTTAAGTGTTTTAAGTGTTTAAGTTCATTGATTTTTGATGCTCTGCCTTTCAATATTTTTGTTTCAACGTAAAATATCTAGTAAATAAAATGCTACGTTTGGTGATCATCTACAAATAATGTTGAGTAAAGCAGGTAAAGTTACAACATGATGGAGGTGTCGTGTTTGTGTTTACAGTTAAAATCATGTTTGTGCTGTTTGTCTTTCTACTCTGTTTTGTCTGTACATAGAAAGATAGTGTTATGTACAGTATATATGTTAAGATTTTTTTTTGAGGAACCAGGTTTTATAAACTTTTGTTTAAAAAAACAAGTAACAACTGTGTTTCATGTGTGTAACTTATTCATTAAACTTGTTTTTCAGTGAAACAAAGATTGTTCCAAACATTCCTCTT